TGGAGCTTCCAGTCAGTCCAGTTGGGGCAGGTGTGGACACAGATGAGGAAACAAGAAGTTATAAAATAGAACGATGAATGCTATGGAAGGAGCGTAGAAGATGTTATCAGCACTCAACAGGAATGCCTGACCAAGATTGGGGGAGGGAAAATTTCCTGGAGGAAGGGACATTTTAGTTTAGACCTGAATGAGCCAGGCCAAGAGATGAGGAGAGGAAGTATCCCCGGCAGGGGGCACAGCCTTTAAAAAGCCTGGAGGGAGAGAAAGAACTGGCCGGGCTCAGTCCGGTAGGGTGCACAGCAGCCCTTTGCCACTGGGGTTCTGCAAGAGAATCAAGCCACACTGTCCCTCGGCAGCTGCTGGGAGAATGAGGAAAGGCACTCAGATCATTTTCCCTGGGGCTTAATTTTCTTGAGAAAGGATAGTGTCAGTACATGCAGACAGGTGAGGGCAGAGAGAAAAGCAGGAGCTGGGTCACAAAGGGCCTTGTGAGCCACAGCAGTTTTCATTTTGCCATAAAGAAATTGCATGATCACTAAATTAATGCATTAGCTGGATATAGAACAGCTCACACAATGAACAATAAAAATCTAAAACAAAGCACAATAGATGGCATTAAAACATTGAAAAAAACCCCTCAGCTACAAATAAATTCTACTTAATTGTCAAGTCTCAGTCATTCGTGTATTTATTGAGCACGATCTCCGACTGGCTGTTGGGGACGCAAAGAGGAACGAGGCAGAATCTCTGTCCTCCAGAAGCTCAGAGTTTTTGCTGAAGTGTTTCTGATACATCCAGCTCACTATGGTCTTTCTCTCTCTTCTTCTCCTTCTTTTTAATCCCAACTCGAGGATATACTTATTGATTTTAGAGACAGAGAGGAAGGCATTGAGAAACAATAGTTGGTTGCAGGCCCTGACTGACGATCGAACCCACAACCTAGGTATGTGCTCCGATTGGGAATCGAACCTGCAACCTTTTGGTGTATGGGATGACGCTCCAACCAACTAGGCCACCCACCCAGGGATCTCCCTTCCCTCGAGGCTTAAAATAATTGATTCACCACTTACTCACTTTGGCATCTAATCATAATCTCTTTTATGCTGTTACATGCATACGGACATTATTTTTAGTGAAATTAACTCCTGGAGAACAGAGTTCATGCCTTTCAGTTCATTATTACTCGCACTATAGAATTAAGTCGGGAACTGAGCGTAGAGTAAAATCTTAAATACTCATTAGATTGTGTTCAGCCATATATATATACACACATATATATATGATCTCAGGATATGTGCATGTACAAAAAACCATCAGCAAATATAAAGGTAGCTCTTGCTACAATAGTAAAGAATTTGGATTTTAAAGAAAATCCAAACCCTCTGCATTTATCTCTACGTACTTTAGCATAGAAAGAGGTCAAGAAATTTAAAGAGCAGCCAAAAGTACTAAGAGGAGGAATCAAATGACAATTATAATAGCTAATTATCTTGGGTGAATGGTGACTATGAAAAAAATGGTACAATCAGGCAGTCTGCTAGATTAGAACAATAAGGATAGTCCGGGATCATCTTCCTGGTGACCTAGGGGACTGCGTGACAGGAACACCTTCGTGGGAAGCATCAGGACACAGGGCAGAACACTGTAGTCTACGTGGTTTTGGAGAAGAGGATTGGGCTTTATCTAGCCCAATGGTGACTACAATAGAGCTAGGTGGGGTTTTATCACGAGGAACCGAGATAGTAGGAGTAAGAGGCTGCTGCTGCTGAGGCCACACCAATTTAGTTTGGGAAATTTAAGGTTAAGAGGGGTGATCACAAACCTATGATTATAAATGGCACATACACATTGAGCCCAGATTTTTATCTCATCCAAACTTGAAACACTTGGCCAAAGATGCTTTTATAAGCACGAAGAAGGTGCCTACTTTGCATCCATTGTAAGAGAACACCCGAGAACACGAGCTCTGGCAGTCAGACTGCCTTTGTTCACCACCCAGCTCTGCCTCCACTGAAAACGAGAGGTAACAACAGGGCCTCCCTCACGAAACTGTGATGAGGATTACAGCACATGCAAAGTTCTGAGAAAGAAAAGGTCTGGCACATGGTAAGCTCTCAATAGATGCTAGCTACTAATATGCTCGTAGGGGTCATTGAGAAATCAGGAAAGAAACTGCTTTTTTAAAGATTCAAATACATTTAGGAATGGGAACGGCTATTAACAGAATTGGGTTAGTGAGGTCTGGATGGGATGGGCCAGTAAGGCAATGCCCATTTTCTGTTAAGTTTTCAACCCTAGAAAGTAATGGCTATTAGCTTTGATAACGCTGTCTTTATTGCTTTTGCAAAAAGGCACAGAAACAATATGGAAAAAAGGCGGAGAGAAGGGAGAATTAGATTTGGCTACTTCTTCCTCATCTTTAAATTCTCAACTTAAAAGTCACTACTCCTGGCAACCCTTATTTAAAAGTAGGTCTTGTTATTCTTTCTCAGCACCCAGTTTGCTTCCTGTACAGCTCAGTATTTACCATAATTTATCATTAATTAATTAATTTATTTTTATAAGACTTTATTTCTTTATTATCGGAGAGGGAAAGGGAGGGAAACATCAATGTGTGGTTGCCTCTCGTGTGTCCCCCAGTGGGGACCTGGCCCAGCAACTCAGGCACGTGCCCTGACTGGGAATCAAATCAGCGACCCTTTGATTCACAAGCGGGCACTCAATCCACTAAGCCACACCAGCCAGGGCTGCTTATTTATCTTTAAAGATTTATTTATGTTTAGAGAGAGGGGAAGGGAGGGAGAAAGGGAGAGAAACATCATGTGAGAGAGAAGCACTGATCGGTTGCTTCCTGTAGGTTCCTGGAAAGGGACTGAGCCCTCAGCCTAAGCAAGCCCTGACCAGGGATCGAACTGGCGACCTTTCACTTTGTGGGACGATGCCCAACCAACAGAGCCACGCCGGTCAGGGCTGCTTATTTACTCTTAATGTCTTGCACGCTAAGTAGCTCCATGATGACACAGAGTATCTGTGTTCATTACATCATCTTTAGTTAAGCTTAACACATGGTGAGCACATAGTAGGCACTCGATAAACATCTGCTGAATGAATCATGAAATAATGATCTGTACGACTTTCAGCTAAAATCAGTATAACTATTAGGTAATACACCATCAACAACAAACACCCAGTACAAGCGGGGAGGCTTTTAGTTTTGGATCTAGGAAACACTGAATGCCTCACTGTGATAAAACTAACCAAATGGCTCCATTCCAAGAAGTTTAGTTAGAACATGACTGATGTAATCTCAGTAACCAGCACCTTCCCCAAACAGTGACTTCATAAGTTTTGCTCTCAGATTTGCCTTACTAATTTTAACAGTCTAGGCCCAACTTCTGTCCAATAACGCATCAGCTACACACACGTTTCTGAGGAGCTTTTTAAAACTACAGATTTTTGGACCACAATTCCAGAAAAGTCTATTTACGTACTTATATAATGAGGCTGTAGGATCCATATATTTAAAACTTTGCTTATTTTGAATAGATAATACATGTATGTACTATATACAATTCTCCTGTCTTTCAGCTTCAAGTTCACTTCAAAAATATATTTATTTATTTTTAGAGAGAGGAGAAGAGAGGGAGAAAGAGGAGAGAAACATCCATGTATGAGAGAAACATCTCACATGCCCCACGCCCCCGGCTGGGGGCCTGGCCTGCAACCCAGGCATGTGCCCTGACCTTTGGATATGCGGGATGATGCCCAACCCACTGAATCACGGCACTCAAGGGCAAGTTCAATTTTCGATAAGCTATCACTGTAACCATTCTTTTGTATTCTTCCAGGCAATTATTTGCCTAAGCAAGTAATCCTTTACATATCCTTTGCTTTAAAGACACACTTGTACACTTAAAGAACTGTTTTACTTTTGTTGTTTCTATACCTGCTTCACAATATATGTTGAAGATGAAGGTGTCTGTATTTTTCACAAGCGCCCTAGGTAGTTCTGAGGTGAAGCTGAATACAGAGACCACTCACTGGCCCAGGGTTAAGAGGTTAAGTTCAACCTAATGTGCTCACTCCAGCACATGAGAAACTCAAGGATATTGAAGAGATGCCCTCAAAAGCAGCCTTGCTTACTTGACCTCTGCCCTCTTCTCTTAGGCACATGAGTCAAAACATTCTCTAATGTCTCCATAAGCCAGGAAACACCAGTCACTCAAATGGATGTTGCCAAAGTTGTTAGGTTTTCAGCTCCTGGAATGCTTTCCTGCCCAACTATCACCTGAAATCACAAACCTGACAATCACTACGTTACACAAGGCATTTGGTATCTGGATTATAATGATGTGTGTGATCCTGGCGGCTAAGTAGTTTAATGGAGCACACTTTACTAATCCTTACTGACACAACAGAGTCCAGTCCTCCCCGGGAACTGCAAAAGCAATACCACACTGTCAGGCCGAACTTGGTGAATTCTCGGGTTCGGGCTCCAGGACACCTGACTTCAATTCTATGTAGGGACCGGGCTGGGTCCCTGTGCCGCTCTGGCTTTCTCCTCCCACCTACCCTAGCGACTGCAGAAAGCGCTTCCTCTTGGGAGGGCAGGCTCCCCGAGGGCCACCCGAGAATTTCCTCCGCAGTGTCCCTTTCACCACGAGGCGCACCACGCGGCAGGCATCCTCACCTCTGCGCCGTGGAAGGTGCTAGAGGGCTCGCCCAGCGAGGTACGGAACCCCCGACCCAGCGCCAGCTTACCCCACCTCCCTGCTGAAGGTGCTCGGAAGGGAGAAGGGCGGGCGCAGGGCGCGATTCCTCTCCATCCCTCCCCCCAGGATTCAAATGGCCAAGTGGGGCAGCGGGGCCGAAATCTCAGACCCCTCCCTTCTTTACCCGGGCTTTTCTCCATCCTCTGGGCCCTCCGAGCGTGGGCCCAGGCCTCCCCACCGCCGCCGGCCGTCCTGGCCCTCCTTCCTGCCCGCCCCCAGCCCCCTCACCCAGCATGATGGGGCTGAGCCGCCGGGCCAGGCCCTTGGACAGGTCGTACACGTAGAGCTTCACGGGATAGAGATTCGGCGGCTCCATCGGGACCCGTGGCGGCGGCCACAAAGTCCCTCTGGCACCAGGCAGCGGCTTGGACCTTCCCGTACCCGACCGGGGTGGGGAACGAAAGGAGCGTGGGGGAACCGAGCCTAGGCCCGGCCTGAGGGGCGGGGGAAGAGGCCGCCCTTCGCTGCTCGCGCCCCTTCGCTGCTCGCGCCCCCACGCCCGCCTCGGGCAACGACTACTGTGAGGTGACAGAGCCAGGGCCAGCGGGGTCGGAGCGGAAGAGAGGCGGGGGCGGGGACGCACTTTCGCGCATGTGCACACCATCCCGACGGCTGGCGAGGGGCGGGGTTTCGAGGGAGGGGGCGGGGCTTTTGCGGAGAGGTCGATATTGGGGCCCTGTACCGAGAGCAGGTTGGGGGAGTGGGTGTGTCCGCCGACTGTAAAAGTGCGCGTTTTGCGTGGTGACGTAGGGCGTTGAGTGGGAGAGACAACTGGATCCCGCGCGTGCGAGGCACCCCACTTGCAGTCCAAATCGATCTTTTCCCTACGGGGGAGGTAGGCCGAAACCGCCTGGGTTGTGTGTGTGTTGCTGGCCAGTGCAGGCTGGCCTGACCCTGCTTCGCCGCTCGGTCTGGCGCGTCCTCCTAACCTCGCTACAGGGCCCCCTAGTCGTGAGTGTGCAGCCCGAGGGTAGAGGCAGCCTGTGGCTCCCCTTCCTTCCTCCTGGGACAGGCCGCACCCGGCCTTGGAGACCCCACTGGGCATGGCCGCCTGGGGAGTTGAGGGCCAGGGTGAGGACACATAGGTCCCCTGGAGGACGGAGTATCTGGAGCGGGAATCCGTCAAGTCCAGATGGTGCCGAAGGTGGAACGGACCTCGACATCGATTGGAGCGGCCACCCTGGGCCACCCACCACGTGTCCTGGAGTGTCTTTAAGGGCTAGCTAAGGTGGGGCTGCTGGAATGACCCCCAGGGTCATCTTCCTCCGGGTCTCAAATTACCGCGGGCTCCCGAGGCGGCAGGATCCAGCATGCCCCTTGCTCATGACTCACCACGAGCCCTTAGGACAGGCCTCAAAGCAGTCGATGTTTTTAGATTCAACTTTGCTTGTTACTGATCTTAACTCTCTTTCACCCAGCGAGCAGTTACCAACATGTCAGAGTGGGAGTCTTATTACAAAAACCAGGGCGATGAAGAAGAAGAACAAGAGGAGGGCCTTGAAGCAGGTGGTCAGTGACTTTAACTGTACTGTTTGTGGGGAAAACGTCCCCTGCCTGTCTCTGCGGGTTGTCCTTGGCTGTCTGAGGGCCTGCCCTTCTCTCCCCAGATAATACCTCAAATACCTTTTTCCCTCTGAACTTTACAGAGTTACCGTAGGCTTTTTTATTCATGTCCTACTCTAGCCTGTGGGACGTTTCTAGTCTTAAACTTTTGCTGGACACTAGTAGATTGCTACCTGTGGAGTTCCAATAAATGACCCTGAGCAGTGGTATCTTTTGTCACCTTAGATGGCACAGGTAAGCCTCTTCCTCACTCAGAATAGTTACACTCATTTCAGGACCTCAGTGTAAAAATCACCTAACAATAATCTCAGCCACCGAAGAGTAGACATTAGCAACAGTTACAAGTGTCATTCCCTCACCATAACCTCCATGTGCGGAGTATATGTTCAGCCAACACAGTAACACATAGGACAAAGAAAGAGAAATAAGGGCTAGAGGTACGCTACATACTGGTTAGTTTAAGTCCTGGGTAGAAAACTTGAAAGTGTTTTTATTAAAATGGAGAAACATAGGAAATATTGAGAATAGAGGAAGCTCACTGTAAGCTATATAATCTGCCACCCTAACACAATTTCATTCTGCATATTTCCTAACTACGTATGTCTGTTTTTCTTTGTATCTGATTTCTTTATGTAGTGATAATTGTAGTATATATACACTTAAAATTTTAATTTATACCAGTCTTCTAACAAAAGGAATTTTAAACACATACATAATTTTATGTTCTGCCTTTTTTCCTTTTTTTTTTTTAAGATTTTATTCATTTATTTTTTTAGAGAGGGGAGGGAGAAAGAGAGAGAGAGAGAGAAACATCAATGTGCGGTTGCTGGGGGTCATGGCCTGCAACCCAGGCATGTGCCCTGACTGGGAATCGAACCTACAACACTTTGGTTAGCAGTCTGCGCTCAGTCCACTGAGCTATGCCAGTCAGGGCTTCTTTTTTCCTTATTTATCATAGATATATTTTTTCCCATGTAAGTACATAAATATAATCTTTATAGCTCATTTTAAATTTATTATAATTTATTCATTCTGCTTCCTTTTGGATATTTTTAATTTTTAATTGATCTTAGAGAGAAACATTGATTTGTTGTTCCACTTATTTATGCAGATTGATTCTTGTATGTACCCTGATGGGAATCGAACCCACAACCTTGGCATATTAGGACAATGCTCTAACCAACTGAGCTACTCAGCCAGAGCCATTTCTACGTTATTTTCAATTTCTTACTTTATTTTATTATTATTTTTTAGATTATATTTATTTATTTTTACAGAGGAGGGAAGGAGGGGGGAAAAAGGGAGAAAAACATTGATGTGAGAGAAAAACCTCCATTGGTTGCCTCATATGCACCCCAGCTGGGGACTGACCCTGCAGTCTAGGCCTGTGCCCTCACTGGGTATGAATGGCAGCCTTTCAACTGAGCCACACCGGTCAGGGGCGTCCATTTCTATCTTTCTTTCTTTTTTTTTTTAATTAATTTTACTTATTTTTAGAGAGGGAAGGGGGAGACAGGAGAGAGAGAGAGAGAGAGAAACATCAATGTGTGGTTGCTGGGGGCCATGGCCTGCAACCTAGGCATGTGCCCTGACTGGGAATTGAACCTGCGATGCCTGGTTCACAGCCCGCGCTCAATCCACTGAGCTATGCCAGCCAGGGCTGGGCGTCCATTTCTTACTTTAATAAATAACATTGTGAAAAATTTTGTATAAGGATTTTTCCAGATCTTACTTTCTTAAGATTTTTAAGCCACAAGATTTCCTGGGTCAAGGTAGAATTTTCTTTAAGGCTTTTAACACATACAATTATATTGTTTTTAATAAAAGGTAGATAATTAAATTTGTTTTATTAAGCAGCAGTATCAAAAAGGGAGACAACCAGCCCTGGCTGGTGTGGCTTAGTGGATTGAGCCTTGGCCTGTGAACCAAAAGGTCACTGGTTCAAATCCCAGTCAGGGCACATGCCTGGATTGTGGGCCAGGTCCCAATCAATGTTTCTCTACCTCTCTTTGTCTCTTCCTTCCCCTCTCTCTAAAAGTAAAGAAACAAAATCTTTTAAAAAATCATTAAAAAAAGGAAGACAACTGAATATGAAAAATACATCAGGAAAAGAAAACCTGAATCTGATGAATCCTTTCTGGGTCCTTAGTAGGAAAGACAAAGGACTCTGTTCATCAACACCAAAAGGATGCCTGTAGTGAAATCCAGAAGATGGGAAACTGCATATGGCACAGTTCTTCAACAAATAAACTTGTTTTGAAAGACAAGATGGAGAAGGTTATCTATAGACTAAAAGACTTGAAAAACATTTAAAAGAATCAAAACTAGTATTGCCCTGGCTGGTGGGGCTCAGTTGGAGCGCTGTCCCATTAACTGAAAGGTCATGGGTTCCATTTCTGGTCACGGCACCTGCATAGGTTGCGGTTGGGTCCCCAGTCGGGGCAAGGGGGAGAGGCAACCGATAGATGTCTCTCTCCCACATCAACGTTTCTCTCCTTTTTCTCCCTCCCTCCCCCTCTGTAATCAAGCATGTTCTCCGGTGAGGATAAAAAACAAAACAAGAAAGTGTTCAGGAGTGTTTGCTTGGGGAGAAAACTATTTTTAAAAAAGGAAGTGAAGTCAGGATAGTGGTTACTCTCGGGAGGAGGGTGAGAGTTGTGATTGGGAGAAGGCGCACAGAGGGGGCTTCTGGGGTGACTGGCAAGATTGAATGTGGGTGGTGGTTTTTTTTTTTTTAAGATTTTATTTGTTTATTTTTTAGAGAGGGAAGGGAGGGGGGGAGATAGAGAGAGAGAGAAACATCAATGAGCGGTTGCTGGGGGTCATGGCCTGCAACCCAGGCATATACCCTGACTAGGAATCGAACCCGCGACACTTCGGTTCGCAGCCCGCACTCAATCCACTGAGCTACGCCATCCAGGGCTGGGTGGTGGTTTTAAGGGTGTTCACTTTACACATCAGGTTATAGTTTTGCTTAATGGGCTTTTCTCTATTTTATTAAAATAATAAACATAAAACATAAATATGAATGCAAAGCAGGGGTTTTCTTCCATTTTTTTCCCCATGTAGGAGAATATACATATTCAGGAAGAGACAGTTTGATTTTTTTGGTTGATGCTTCTAAGGCCATGTTTATTAAATCAGAGGATGAAGATGAGTTGACTCCTTTTGACTTGAGCATCCAGGTAAGATTACCTTTTTATTTAAAACAAACAAAAACCCTGAAGTATTAATGCCACTTTAAAAAATATGGACTCTGAAAATTGTGTTTGTGAGTGATAAATGGTGGTTAGCCTCCTGGGATGGCTGTGTTAACTTCCAGCGGAAGAAGAGTAGCAGTGCTGGAGAACAGGCGCATTTTATGCTGAGGCTGAACTCTGGCCCCTGGGAAGGTGTTGCTCCCACCCTCAGCATTCGCCCTGGGAGTGGCAGTGGGCCGCTCCTGCTGTGGGGGATGGGAGGGCAGTGGAAGAAAGGGAGCTCCAGCCATCACAGTTTGGAAATGAGTTCTCTTGGAAGTGGTAGTTGGAAGTTGGGTGTTATCTGTGATTGAAAAAGATTATTACAACAAAATGACAAGAAAAAAACAATTTAAAAATGGGCACAGGATTTGAACATCCATGTCTCTGAGGATATACAAAGTGGCCAACAATGTTGGGCACAGGATATTCTCAACATCTTTAGTCATTAGAGAAAAGCAAATCAAACCACAATGAGGTATCACACCTGCTAGGATGGCTATAATTTAAAAAAAAAAGGAAAGTAAGAAGGATGTGGAACAGTTGGAAACCTCATACGTTGCTGGTGGGAACGTGAAATGGGCCACCTGCTGCGGAGAAAGGGTTTGGCAGTTCCTCAGAGTTCAGCATAGCGTTACCGTCGGCATCACTCCTCCCGGGTATGCACCTGGCAGAATGAAAATCAGCTACTCATATCCTGATGCCACCACGTATAAACGGTCTAATGTTATGCCCTGGCTGGCGTGGCTCAGTGGATTGAGCTCTGGACTGCGAAGCAGAGGGTTGCTGGTTCGATTCCCAGTCAGGGCACATGCCTAGGTTGCAGGCCAGGTCCCCAGTATGGGGTGCATGAGAGACAACCACATATTGATGTTTCTCTCCCTCTCTTTCTTCCGCCCTTCTCCTCTCTCTAAAAATAAATAAAATCTTAAAAAAAAAAACCCAGCTGTCTGATGTTAGAAGAGTAGTTCAACGTCTTGGTCTCTGTTTTCTTACCTGTTAAATGGAAAGAAGAATAGTATCTAGCCCATCAAGTTGATGTGAGGATTAAATAGTTTCGTTTTTTAAGTTAAGGTGTAATTCATGTAATAAAATTAACCATTTAAAAGTGTACAATTCAAAGGTATTTCGTCATTCACAGTATTGAGTAAACACCACCTCTTGTCTTACTACCAAACATTTTGAATGGATCAACAGAATTTTTTTTTTTAAATAAACATTATGTTACTGTCAGTTCCTCATCTGGAAGATTTTCTTTTCTTTTTTTAAGATTTTATTTATTTATTTTTAGAGAGGGAATGGAGGGAGAAAGAGAGAGAGAGAGAAACATCAATGTGCAGTTGCTGGGGGTCATGGCCTACAACCCAGGCATGTGCCCTGACTGGGAATCGAACCTGCGAGAATCAACAGAATTTTTATACCTGCAGTTGGAATGTTACTCGGACAGAAAAAGCAATGAAGTGCTGATATATGCCACACAGTGAATGAACCTTGAAAACAATATATTGAGTGAAGGAAGCCAGACGAGTCGTCACACGTGATTACATTTACATGAAATAGAGAATTGATAATCCATAGGTCGGTGGTTCCTAGGGGCAGGGGAGAGGGACGTATGGGGAGCAATAGCTTAATGGGTATGGGGTGCTTTTGGGGTGGGGGAAATATTTTGGAACTAGATAAAGGTAGTCATTGCATAACATTGTATATTTATTACCTACCACTGCATTGTCTATTTTTTAAGTATATTTTGTTGATTATGCTATCACAATTGTCCCATTTTTTTCTCCACTTTATCCCCCTCCGCCCGCACTCTCCTCCCTCCGACATTCCCCACCCCCGGCGTCCCCCGCCCCTTAGCTCGTGTCTGTGGCTTGTACATACGAGTTCTTTGGCCCCTCCATTTCCTATACTATGCTAAACCTCCCTCTCTCTATTTTGTACCTATCATTTATGTTTCTTATTCCTGTACCTTTTCCCCCATTCTCACCCCTCCCCTCCCTGCTGATAACCCTCCATGTGATCTCCATTTCTGTGGTTCTGTTCCCCTTCTAGTAGTTTGTTTTTGTTTTAGGTTCAATTGTTGATAGTTAGGAGTTTGTTGTCATTCTACTGTTCATATTTTTGATCTTCTTTTTCTTAGATAAGTCTCTTTAACATTTAATTCATATAATAAGAGCTTGCTGGTGGTGAATTCCTTTAACTTGACCTTATCTGGGAAAGCACTTTATCTGCCCTTCCATTCTAAATGAAAGTTTTGCTGGATAGAGTAATCTTGGGTGTAGGTCCTTGCCTTTAATGACTTAGAATACTTCTTGTCTGTAAGGTTTTTTTGTTGTTGTTGTTTTTTGTGTTTGTTTTTTTTTTTTTGAGAAATCAGCTGATAGTTTTATGGGAACTCCTTTGTAGGTAACTGTCTCCTTTTCTCTTGCTGCTTTTAAGATTCTCTCCTTATCTTTCATCTTGGGTAATGTAATTATGATGTGCCTTGGTGTGTGCTTCCTTGAGAACCAACTTCTTTGGGACTCTCTGAGCTTCCTGGACTTCCTGGAAGTCTATTTCCTTCAGCAGATTGGGAAAGTTCTCCTTCATTATGTTTTCAATTAAGTTTACAGTTTCTTTTTTTTTTTTTTAAAGATTTTATTTATTTTGAGAGAGGGAAGGGAGGGAGATAGAGAGAGAAACATCAATGTGTGGTTGCTGGGGGTCATGGCCTGCAACCCAGGCATGTACCCTGACTGGGAATCGAACCTGCGACACTTTGGTTCGCAGCCCGCGCTCAATCCACTGAGCTACGCCAGCCAGGGCTAGTTTACAGTTTCTTAATTCAGTGCACTATATATGCCCATCACTCTCACTGATTTATGAATTTCCTGAAGGTGGAGGTCATAGCTTATTCTAATGCCATGTACACATTCAGCAAGCATATATCAAACACCTATTATGTGCCAGGCACTTAGAGTTTGTTTAGTGGTAAGTAGTTAAACATTAATTGAATTCTTGTTCTTATTTCTCCAGTGTATCCAGAGTGTGTACACCAATAAAATCATAAGCAGTGATCGAGATCTCTTGGCAGTGGTGTTCTATGGTACTGAGAAGGACAAAAACTCAGTGAATTTCAAAAATATTTATGTCTTACAGGAGTTGGATAATCCAGGTCCGTAGCATTCTAAGATTAACTTTTTTTTTTTTTGAAGATTTTATTTATCCATTTTTAGAGAGGGGGTAGGGAGAGAGAAAGTGGGGGAGGGAAACGTGAATGCGTGAGAGAAACGTTGACCAGTCGCCTCTCGCACACCCCAAACTGGGGACCTGGCCTGCAATGCAGGCAGGTGCCCTGCCCGGGAATCAAACCTTTCACTTTGCAGGATGATGCCCAACTGAGCCATGCTGGTCAGGGCTAAGACGATCTTTTCCCCTAAACGAGAAGGTTGTGGCTCTGAACAGAGATGAGGAGACAGGGGCAGGTGACACCCTGACTGAGAGTGTGCTTCCTGCACCAGGGGCTTCTCACCGGGGTGTGGACTTGGGCTGTAGGGCTTGACCAGCCCTGGGGTGAGGACGGGACCTCAGGCTCTCCTGTTGCCCTGGTAAAGGCACCTGTCCGCTGACGCTGCCCTGCCTTCTCTGCCCATCTGACTCCCTGTCTCTGAGCAGGTGCTAAACGAGTGTTGGAGCTCGCGCAGTTCAAGGGGCGGCAGGGGCAGAAACATTTCCAAGACCGGATCGGCGGTGGGTGTGCCTACTCACTAAGTGAAGTGCTGTGGGTCTGTGCCAACCTCTTCAGCGATGTCCAGGTCAAGATGAGCCATAAGAGGATCATGCTCTTCACCAACGAAGATGACCCCCACGGCGACGACAGTGCCAAAGCCAGTCGGGCCAGGACCAAAGCTGGGGATCTCCGTGACACAGGTGGGCATTTTTCCAGTTCTTTTATTTATTTTTTTTTAATATTTTATTTATTTATTTTTAGAGAGGGAAGGGAGGGAGAGAGAGAGAGAGAGAGAGAGAAACATCGATGTGCGGTTGCTGGGGGCCGTGGCCTGCAACCCAGGCATGTGCCCTGACAGGGAATCGAACCTTCAATGCTTTGGTTTGCAGCCCATGCTCAAGCCACTGAGCTACGCCAGCCAGGGCTTCCCAGTTCTTTTAAATTGGTACTTAATGCCATTGTTTCTTTATAGTTGATGTCAAACATTTGCTTTTCACCATTCAGAGTAAAATGGAAATAAAAGGGAAGCCAGAGGAGTCACCTGTGGGACATTCCCAGTGAAAATGGCCAGGCCGTCAATCGCCTGAAGGGCTCTCCCAGAGCAAGATTTTCTTGATTTTAATGCTACTGTGAATGGTGGTTATTGGAATACATCATCTGAAGTCATTGTAGTAGCTGATTCCCCTAGCCATCTTCTCTAATTCCTGACATGTTAATAATTAGTGTAGTTCTTTGGGGAGCTTTAAGAAGCATGTTTGAGCCTAACGGAAAAGAAAAATCGTTGCTGCAAATTGTTTCCCCTCACTTCTCTCTGTCCTCGTCCCAGGTATCTTCCTTGACTTGATGCACCTGAGGAAACACGGGGGCTTTGACACGTCCTTGTTCTACAGAGACATCGTCAGTGTGGCGGAGGACGAGGACCTGCAGGTCCACTTCCAGGAATCGAGCAAGCTGGAGGACCTGCTGAGGCGGGTCCGCGCCAAGGAGACCAAGAAGCGTGCGCTTGTCAGGTGGGCACTGAGCCTGGGCCAGCAACGCCCACGAGTCTCCTAACTGATCGTAAACAGTGCATGACCCTGGCCGGTAGCTGGTTGGAGCGTTGTCCTGACAGGCAAAGCTTACAGGTTCAGTTCCTAGTCAGGGCACATACAAGAATCAACCAATCAATGCATAAATGGGTGGAACAACAGGTTGATGTTTCTCTCTCTCTAAAATCAATACATCAGAAAAGAAATCACCACCACCACAACAAAAAGGAAGCACAGGAAAAGAACTCACCAGTGCGTGGCTCTGACGCCCTGGCTGCCTGACTCTGGGCTGTGTGTGTCTCTGCTTCGCTGGGCTCCTCTAAAAGACTTGCTGGATTTCAGGACAGCGCCCGTAATGTGCTTCTCTCCCCCGGAAAGAGCTGGTATATTTCTTCAGAGTAACACAGCCCCCCACTTTCTGGGGGCAAGCAGTCGTGGCCTAACAGTATCCTCAGTCGCACTCACTAGTTCATTGTCTGCTTGCTTCTCTATAAATTGGGGATGACAGTAGTTGCTGGTATAGAGCTAAAACTCCATAAGTGCTAGTTACTATCATTGTTGCCGAAATGGCGTTATTCTGATTTCTTACAAGCCCGAGTCCAATAGGAACCAGATTGTTAGATTTATCTGTTGGAGGCTTTGGCTTTGGGTCCTAGGGGCCCCTCAGCGTTTCTTCCTAAAGAGCATCAGGTTTGCACTTGAGACTATTTCCCCAACATAGGGGAATGTGACGATCGGTGGGTTTGGGGCACTTTGCAAGAGATGACTGGTACTCTACCAGAAGACCCGTGACACTGTCGTAAGGAAGCCACGGCCCAGCTTACCACCGCGGTTGTCGTGTTGTCATTGCCTTCCTTTTCCCTTTGGAACTCTTACTCTTTCCTCAGACAAGCACCCTGTTACCGCTTCTCCCTTCCTGAAATGGTGACATGTTGTTCCTGTGACAGTGTGGAAATCTACACCTTTCGGTCTGGGTGGCAGGGAGCCTAAATTTGAGGCAGATGGCTTGGATTCTAGTCCTGGCCCCTCTGCTGTGTGGCCTGAGGTACGGCATGTAACTTCTCTGAGCCTCAGTAAAATGGGAGCAAAACCGATAGCTCCTCACAGGACCGCGGTGGTGCTTAAAGGGGATAACGTCGGCACGGTGCTTGGCACGCAGTGACTATTTATGAATGGGAGCGATTCTTGCTATTCTGTGGAAGCGTCATTGTAGGCTACTTAATGTGAGTAATGACACATTGGAGCTGTTTGAGAACTAATAGTGCCTTAGAAAATTATTGCACTTGTTCTTGCTATAATCGAATAATAAATTTACCTTAGTGCGTGGTTATTGTGTGCCAGGCACTACTCTAAGTTCTTTGTGAACACATCAAGTAACTTATTTAATCCGTAATGACAGCCCTTTCAAGTGGGTTGAAACCTACCCATTAATAACATTGAAGACACTTCAAAGGAAGTTAAACATAGGAAGCAACTCGTTCTGCACTGTGGCTTCCACGTCTTCCCTGGTGGGTTATGACTTACACCATGGTGTTATAAACTGGGATGCTGTCCTGTAACTGTAGGTTGACTTAGACTTATGTCATTTTCAAGGTCAAAAGTTACTTTAGTTTATAAATACGAACATTTAAGACCGGGTGGGAGGAGTACTGGATTTGCTATTTTGGGCTAAAAATAGAACCAAGGTCACTTGAAGCCTGAAGTCATAGTGGACCACATTGGCCAGTGCTTTTCTCCAGGATACAGCAATTTTTTTAAATTGCTTTTGAAGATTGTGTAGTTTTTAATTGGTTACATTTATTCTCAGCCCTCCTTCAGCAGCTGTTAGACAACTGAGTTTGAGTCACCAGAACAGTTTCAAATAGGAAGCCAGCAAACGGTTGGTGGTGTTAGTAATGCCACCTGTTACTAGTACTCACCGGGGGGCCACACTGTGCAATATCAGATTGATCTGGGGATATATTAGGTGCTTGTTCCAGAAGCCAACGTTTCTAGGTAGGACTCGGTCTTCAAACAGTGTTCTTTCCGCCGTGCGAACCGATATACCTTTGAACTAGTTGTCACGTGTTTACAACGCTCACTTTAAAGTCAGTACTTGTTCCTAAACATTCCGCAACAGTAAAGACAGGGTTATTAATTTGACACTTTTCTTCTTTTCGGTAAAGGTGTTTAAAGCCATACATTTCCCTCTAAACACTTGATTTTAGCTTCATCCTATACCTTTTGATATGTTGTATTCTCACTTTCAAAACAATTTAAATTTTCCTTGTGATTTCTTTCTTGACCTCTTGGGTTATTTAGAAGTATATTGTTTAATTTCCTAACATTTGAGGTTTTCCCAGAATTCTTTCTATTGTGGTTAAAGAAGATCCTTTGTATGATCTCAGTCTTTTTGCATACATTTAGTCTTGTTTTCTGCCCCAGCATATGGTCTATCCTAGAAAATGTTCCACATGTATGTGCTTGGAAAAAAAGGCATAACATGGGTTATTTTTGTGTTGCGCCTTTTTTTTTACAATATCGTTTTGTAAATATTTTGCACATTGTGATTACTATAGAACACATTTTCGCTGTGGCTGCTGTGGCTCAGTGGACTGAATGCCGGCCTGCAAATCAAAAGGTGGCCGGTTCAATTCCCAGTCAGGGCACATGCCCGGGTTGTGGGCCAGGTCCCCAGTCGGGGGCATGTGAGAGGCAACCAGCTGATGTTTCCCTCGCACATCAGTATTGCTCTCCCTCCCTTTCTCCCTTCCCCTCTATCTGAAAATAAGTAAATGAAATCTGTAGAAAAACAACACTACATTTTCTAGAGGTCCTGTTGTTTCTTAAGATGTTGGTATGAATATTCTGGAGCAGTATGTCACAACAGATAAGTACCTGAGTTTTGAATCAGACATACCAGAGTTTGAACACCAGTTTTTATGTTGTCTGCTGCTAAATAAGTTATATAACATCTCTGAGCCTCAATGTTTTCATCTGTGATAAGGACAATAATAAGGTTTATGGTTGGCGAGCAATAGAAACTGACTCTTAACCAATTTCAGTATAATCAAGCAAACTTCCAAACAGGGTAGATAGTCTAGGAACCAGAGCGGCTCCAAGGATCTAGACAGCAAGAAGTAATGACAGTGCCTTCAGGGTGCCACTGTCAGAAAGCGTCCCTCTGACCGTGACCCAGACTCCAAAGAGAATGTGTCCAGTGTGGCTTGAGCCTGGATCAGATATGCCCACCTCTGGGCCAGGGAAGAGCATAGCACTTTGATTAGCGCGCCCCCGAAACTGCAGTGGTGGCCGGGTGATTCCCACAGAAACATTGGGGTTTTGTTGTTAAAAGAAGGGAGAAGGGATACTAGACAGGCAGAAAGAGCAGATAATCAATATAGCACTTACATAAGTGGTTACTGTGATGATGCAGTGAGTGAATAGTTGTAGAGGGATTGGAATAGTGTTGGGTTCAATGTAAAAAAATCATTATTTTTATTATAGTATTTTCCTTATTATTATCTTACATAGTCAATATATTCCGGAGCTAATTTTTATGGAGTAGACCCTGAGATAGTATTACAGCAAACTCCATTATACTATTTTTAAAATTTTTTTTAAAGATTTTATTTGTTTTTAGAGAGGGAAGGGAGGGAGAAAGAGAGAGAGAGAGAGAGAGAAACATCAATGTGCAGTTGCTGGGGGCCGTGGCCTGCAACCCAGGCATGTGCCCTGACTGGGAATTGAACCTGTGACACTTTGGTTCGCAGCCCGCACTCAATCCATTGAGCTATGCCAGCCAGGGCTCCATTATACTATTAAAATTAATTAAATGTGTACTCTAAAAGCTTGCTTGGGGTTATAAGAGAGATTGAAGCAAACTAAGGCTTGGGTGCCATGAAGGAACTTTAGGTAGGGAAGTATAATCTCTCAGTCTATGCTTGTCTTTCTCTCCTCCAGGTTGAAATTTAAGCTCAACAAAGATACAGCGCTCTCTGTCGGCATTTATAATACAGTCCAGAAGGCCGTCAGGCCTGCTCCAATCAGGCTTTATCGGGAAACCAACGAACCAGTGAAAACCAAGACACGGACATTTAATGTAAATACAGGCGGTTTGCTTCTGCCAAGCGACACCAAGAGGTCTCGGGTAAGCCTGCCTGCCTACTGAATTTTGTCCCATTGAAGGGTTAGCAGGGAGGGGAGACATTTATCAGCCTAACCAGGTAGCTTTCATGTGCTCATGTTTCTAGCCAAGCTGTTAAAGCTTTGGAACTACGGCGTCTAGATCAGGGGTACCTTGAGGGCTGGAAAGGTAGATAGAGCCAGTGTTTGAAAGAGAGGTCAGTGGAACTCCAGCCCCTGACCACTTGGCCCAGGCTGCCCTGTGTCTTCCAGTGTCAGTCCTCGCTCAGTGCAACAGCAGAACGTGCTCAGTCAACTGGGGAGACGAGGAGCCAGGGGAAGTGTGTTAGGTGTCAAGTGCAATTTTTTTTTTAAAGGAGGGAATTTTGCCCTGGCTGGCATAGCTCAGTGGATTGAGCTCGGGCTGCAAACCAAAGTGTCGCAGGTTCGATTCCCAGTCAGGGCACATGCCTGGGTTGCAGGCCACGGCCCCCAGCAACCGCACATTGATGTTTCTCTCTCTCTCTCTCTCCCTCCCTTCCCTCTCTAAAAATAAATAAATAAAATCTAAAAAAAAAAAGGAGGGAATTTTTTGTTTGGCCAAACTAACTAGATTTTTCCTGTGCTTTGAAATAATACACATATGCCTTTCTTAATCTGAAACATCAACTCTGAATGTAGAACATTATTATCTATCCCCGTCCTTTCACCTTTGTTCAGTCTGTGGAAGGGTTTGATATCTGAAATTAAAATCAAATGAATCATTCTTCCTTTTTGATTATGCGAAGTGCGGGAGACGATCGAAGCGTGTGAGATGTTTGGTGGAGTACAGATTTCAAGCCGCAGTGCTCCGCCCTGCTTTCTGAAAGAGAGGAAAGGAAGAAACTTCCTTTTCCATTTTGGAAGTAATTATTTTTCCATATTCGTTTACAGTAGGAAGCTTTTCTAGTCACTGAGTTTCTTTCTTTTTTTCTTTTTCTTTTTTAAAGATTTTATTCATTTACTTTTAGAGAGAGGGGAAGGGAGGGAGAAAGCAGGACAGAAACATCAGTGTGTATATTGATCGGGTGCTCCTTGCACGCCCCCAGCTAGAGACCTGGCCCGCAGCCCGGGCATGTGCCCTGACCAGTAATTAAACTGGCGACCTTTCAGTTTGCAGGCTGGTGCTCAACCCACTGAGCCACATCAGCCAGGGCGTTGAGTTTCTTTCTTGATTCAATGTCCCTAAAAAAAAACACACTGAGGGTCCTGTTTCTTATAAAACCCCAGTTTGACTCTGTCACTAACCGCATAGCTAGGATCAAAAGGCAGACACTGAAGGTCGGACATAGTTCTTTTGGTGCATGTGCGCCTGCCTCCCGCACTAATCGAGACCCAGCCCACTCCCTGACCCAGGTCCTCGCAATGAGTAGGGGTGGGGTTTTCTTTCTTTTCTTCCTTGTTAAATCGGTGTGGTTTGAGCACTCTTTGTGCGTCAGGGATGAGCGCTCCATACACATACATGAGGGGAGGCACAAATGCTTGAAGAGCATGGTCTTTGGTACCAGACAGATGTGGGTTTAAAGTCCAAATCAGTTGTGTCACCCGGTACAAGTTACCGACCACTGAGCCTCGGTTCACTTACCTTAAAACAGTTTTTAACATCCACCACCAACCGCTGTTGCAGAAGATACACCGGATGACAGGTGTGAAGGGCCCGCCGGGCACTCAGTAAACGTTCATTCCTGGTGGCAGGGGGCGATGGCCCTGGCTAGCCAGGCTCCTGCTCCTTAGAGGCAAGCAGGCTGTGACTCGCTGTGTCTGTCGCGTGGCAGCCATTGCGCATCTCCAGCCATCTGTCTAGGTGGCCCCTCGTTGTCCCCCGCCTTTAGATCTACAGGAGTCGTCAGATCGTGCTAGAGAAGGAGGAGACGGAACAGCTGAAGCGGTTCGATGAGCCAGGTTTGGTTCTCATCGGTTTCAAGCCCCTGGTGATGCTGAAGAAGCACCATTACGTGCGGCCCGCCCTGTTCGTGTACCCCGAGGAGTCCCTGGTGAGCGGTGAGTGGCGCGGACCGAGAGGCCCTGTTCGTGTGCCCCGAGGAGTCCCTGGTGAGCGGTGAGTGGCGCGGACCGAGAGGCCCTGTTCGTGTGCCCCGAGGAGTCCCTGGTGAGCGGTGAGTGGCGCGGACCGAGGGGGACGCGTGAGGCGCTCAGAAGGCGACTTGCTGAGCAGCGTTTCCTGAACCGGTGCTGCTTGGAAACGAGATCGGGTGTGTTCCCGGGGTATTTTGAAAGTGTTTCATGCTCGAATAAAGTCTGGGAGGGCGGGGCTGAACTAAGTGAAAGAGATTTCTTTAGGACTTATAATACACTGGTGTGCATTGTGAGTGTCCAGGAGGGGATATGGAAATTAGTATTAAAAAACTTCTGCCCTGGCTGGCATGGCTCAGTGGATTGAGCTCGGGCTGCAAACCAAAGCATCACAGGTTCGATTCCCAGGCAGGGTACATGCCTGGGTTGCAGGCCACGGCCCCCAGCAACCGCACATTGATGTTTCTCTCTCTTTCTCCCTCCCTTCCCTCTCTAAAAATAATAAAAAAAAGTAAAATCTTTAAAAATAAATAAATAAAGGAAAATTGAGGTTGGGGGGAAAATACCTTAAAAAAAAACTAATATGGAATTCTTTATTTGAGACATCAGATAGCTTGAAAACAAAACAAAAAACTTCTTCCCTCGTGCTGGCGGTTAAAGATGATCTACACTCAGCCACTGAGTGCTTTTGCTGTTCAGACCTGCGTGGTGCTGGAGTGCTACTGAACCTCCCTGATCTGACCCGATTGGTTTTCACCAGCAACCGAGGCTTATGTTATCGGCCTAAAGATAGCAAGAGTGAACTGCCATTAATAATTCGCGCCCCTAAATTGAGTATCTGAGACATCCGGTCTCTCATTCCTTTCCACATTTCCGCTGCCCCCACTTTCCCCTCAGCTGTGGGTCACCACCCCTAAATCTGCTGAAGTATCATAGGCCCGTTTTAAACAATGGAAGAGAAACTGTAGGCTTATAGCGAGGGCTAAGAGGGAAGAAAGGAAGAGACACTTGAGGATGTAGACCCCTCGGATGTTTGTCTTCCAGGGAGCTCAACCCTGTTCAGTGCTCTCCTCACCAAGTGTCTGGAGAAGGAGGTCATGGCAGTGTGCAGATACACCCCCCGCCACAACACCCCCCCTTACTTTGTGGCCTTGGTGCCCCAGGAAGAGGAGCTGGATGACCAGAAGATTCAGGTGGCTCCCCCAGGTATGTGAACGAGGCATTTCCAGTGCTCCTGAAGCTTGCTGAGGCGTTGGAATCGCTCGTGGGAGATTCCCGCTCAGACCCGCTGTAGCAGAGTCTGCAGGAGTGGGGCCCGGGGAGCGTGTTGTGAAGGTTTCAGGGGCGAGGCTGACGCACGGCGCGCCGCACACACAGCCGCACGAGGCCGCTTGAGGGTTGAGGGCTGACTGCTCAGCGGACTGTGTGCAGGTCACCGACACAAGTTCACGGGGTCTCACTGCCAGTGCCTGTCTTGACCAAAAGCCGTTGTTTGGCACCCTTGTCATGCTTAGTGTTCAGTGTGGCTCCTGCATCCACCAAGGCCGTGAGCTGTGGCGGAAAGACATGGGTTTTGAAGTTAGACTTCACCTTATGCTGTGTGTCTGGAAGCTTTCTTTTGTTTTAGGGCCATCTCTGCCACTCGCTGGCTGGCCAGTTTGGGCACATAATTTAACCTTTCTATTCATACTCCTTATCTGCAAAGATGAGAATCCTGGAACACCTTTCTCTCAGGGTTGTTTCACATTTGAAATACACTAATAAACATACAGGTGCCCAGCACAGAGTAGCCTATGGATGATGGCCTTCCTTTTTCTTTAACCATGCTAGTAAATACTGACTTTATAAAGTAACTCTTTGAACGAACGTACTATTTCTGAGCCTGGTCATCACAACGCTCAGGAATAGCTTTGTTTATCAGTTTTTACGCTGTTACCGCTCAGCTCCAAGTTCACCCTTCAGTGCTCTGGGGCCGAGACTCTCCAGACCCAGGGTCTCCTGTGTGAGCGGGCTCTGCAAAGAGCAGGGGCCGGGGAGACGGCAGGGCGGAGGAGAGCGAGGGGCCTTGCTCCTTGCCCTTGCTTCATGCTGTCAGCATTGCCTGCAAGGGCCCTCCAGGGGCGGCGGCAGCCGCTGGCTCCAGTCTCCAGATTTTTCTGTCTTCAGAACCAGTCCGTGACCGGAACGAGTTCACCCTGAGTGTCCTCCCGTCTCCCTTTTCAGCGTGTGGTGGAGGGTGGGGGATAAGAGGGGGCGCCGAGGAGGGCCTCCGGGCCTCCGGTGTGTGAGGAAGGTGGGACTTGGTCTTCCAGGGGGAGTGGGCAGCATCCCGCAGGCCCTGGTGTATCAGAAAAGCTGGAGGTGGAAGCAGCTGCCGCCGCCGGGTAAAGAGCCGGGGCTGGAGCCGCAGTGACAGGAACACGGAGTGTATGGAGAGGAGCGCCCCTGCCCTGGGGTCACCCCGTGGGCGGAGTCTCTGGCGGATGCAGCATCATGGGACATAGAAGGGTGAATCTGGAGCTGAGGGACAAAGGACAACTCAGTCACTGAGACCTTCTGTTAAGTCAGATCTCAGAAATCTTATCTCCCTCCTTCAGGCTTCCATCTTATTTTCTTGCCCTACGCCGATGATAAGCGGAAGGTGCCCTTCACTGAAAAGGTCGTGGCAAACCCAGAGCAGGTAGACAAGATGAAGGCCATTGTTCAGAAGCTCCGCTTCAAGTACAGGTGAGCAGGCGGTCAGTCCCGGGCTTCCTTCTGGACCTGCCCCCCGAGTCGGAACTCTTGTTGGAAATTTGAGTTACGCACAGACCAAGAGAATGAGATTTTACTCTTTTCCTTTAACTCATAGATTATTATTTTTTAAAAGCAATTAGAGACTGGAAGTTCTTATTGTGTAGGATGGGGCAAAAGTGGATTTATAGTTGTGAGTACTGTGCACACACAGAGGTTACTATTGTATTGTTTTCCATACAAACAACTGGAAGCCCACTTTTGCCCCCGCCTGCACTGCACACTGGAGTTGTGCTAAGTGCCTACAGCTGGGCGACCTGTTGGGTTGCGCTGAGAAAGCCAGGTGAGTCGAGCAAGTTCAAGAAAGCAGCAGTGAGGAGAGGATTCTTAGTTGGCCTTTTCCTTCGTTTAGTCACACAGTGAGGAAAAGTAAGTACATCCAGTGTAAATTGTCCCAGGATTAACAGGATGGTCATATACTTCAAGTCATTCCCTGTCACACACACACAGACCGCCTCTCAGAACCCGCATAGTGGGACAGACACCAAACATACTTTTTTTTCCACATTCCTCCTTTGTGTTTAGACTGCTTCCCTGTCTCTGCCGACCTCTGGGCAAACACCTTCCCCTCCAAACATGGTCCTTTATTGGGAAGTGGAAGCATTAGTAAGATTCCGTCCTGTGCCAGGCACTGTTCTAGATGCAGTTCTAACATCATCTCGCTTATTCTTCATAAGAACCCTGAAAGGTAGGTCTCATGCCCGTTTTACAGATGGAGAAACTGAGGCTTAGTAGAGTGAGGCAGCTTGTGCAGACTCATCCGGATGGAAAGAGCTAGGTCTTTCCGACTGTAGAGTCTGTCTCTTTTTACACGCACACTGCGGCTGAATCTGGGAAGAAAGAGTCCTTAGGTCCATTGCCTCCTCATCTTTCATCACCTCTCCTTTGTCTTTTCTCTGTCCGTACATAGCCCTGCCTCCCCCGTGCCTGTCTCTGCCCCGAGCTTCCAGTGACAGACAGGAGGGCAGCTCTTGCTTGCTTTTAAATTAGCTTTTGGATCGCTAGCATCAGACAATAAATTGAGAAATTGGAGAAAGAGAGGTTGATGCAAAAGACAAGATTCTCAGCTCCTTTTATTTGGGGCATTTTTCTCAGCTGACCTGGAGCGTGGGCTGAGTTGGGTTTATTTAACTTTATTATTTTTAAAGTGTTTATGTTTTTATTTTAAAATTTACTTAACATTCACCATCATTATTGTTTTAACAGGAGCGACAGCTTTGAGAACCCGGTGCTGCAGCAGTACTTCAGGAACCTGGAGGCCTTGGCTTTGGATCTGATGGAGCCCGAGCAGGCCGTGGATGTGACACGTAAGAAGGCTGAGAAGTTCCTGTCGTGGGAGCCGTTCTTACTGGTCGCACCCTGGCCAGTCCTGTGGGTGCATTTCCTAGCACCCTCTCGAGACTTAACCTCGTTGTCCAGCCCCCGTCTGTCGGAGCGGTTTTCTAGACTAGCGTAGCCTGCCGGGGAACAGACTCGGCCAGTCCTGCAGCGAGAGGAGGAGGAGGAGAAAGTGCCGGGCTTCTGAGGCCTGCCTCTGAGCGAGGCCGCCCGTGGCTGCATGGTGGTAAAAGTTTAAAAAACAAAACCGACACCATTTTTTGAGCGCTTGTTGTGTGCCAGGCACGGTCCTGTGTGCTCGCTCAGTTAGTCCTAGAAACTGTGAGCTAGGCGCTGGTTGGTCTTGAATGTTCCTGGACCCCAGCCACTGCCCCCCCGCTGCCTCCACACCTCATTCCATTAGTAGGTCCTGTCCGCTCTATCACTTTACATGTTTATGGTCCAACCCGCCCCTCCTCCCTCCGGTTTCACACACAGCACTTCAGCCTTCTGCCTTACCTGCCTTCCATTCATACTCCACACGGCTGTCGGGGGGGGCACCTTTCAGAAATGCAGATCTGATCGTGCTGCTCCCCTGCTCGTAGGCCTTCCGTGTTTCCACGCTGTTGTTATGAAGAGTTAGTCCCTGGGCAGGCTTTCCGGGTTCCTGGGACCTCGCTACGCTTGCCTTTCCAGCCACCTTGCTGGTCCTGCCCTCCTCACGCTGTGTCAAGCTGTTCGTTACCTGCTGTTTCTCACCCCTGTTCTTTTTCCTGCTTGGGATAGTATCTGCCTGAGGAAGAACAATCAGCTTCCCGAAAGTCCTTCCTGACCCCCCGCCCCCCCCCCCCCCCCCCCCCACGCACCCCCACCCCCGCCCCACCCCAGCTTCCCCTGTGCACTGCACAGTCCCTCACCCGTGGCATCGCCCAGCTGTAGTGCATCGGCATTTTGACCACCTCCTTCCCCTGGCTCAGCTGTAAGCCTCACGAGGCCACAGACTTGTTTGAATCCCCAGAATCCAGCCCAGTTTCCCCTCGACCACTTCCCAGCTGTTTGACCTCAGGCAAGTCAGTTAACCTGTTTTCCTCCTTTGTAAAATGACACAGATGTACCTACTCCGGAGGTTAACAAAGCATTGAGAAGGGTGCCTGGCTATAATACGTGCTCATTAAACGCAGTTGTTAGAAGGTTCTTGGTACATGCCAGAAGAACTTGGTTGAATGTTTTCACAGCCAGGTCAGCCGTCTCCTTGGGGACCCCTCTCCCCGCAGCCTCCCCCAACCTGCTGGGTGCTTACCTGAAGCCAGGGGTTGTGGCTCACCAGGCCGCTCTTCCCATGTTTTGCTTTTCTAGTGCCTAAGGTTAAAGAAATGGATAAAAGACTGGGTTCCCTCGTGGATGAGTTTAAGGAGCTTGTCTACCCCCCGGATTACAATCCCGAGAGAAAACCTCCCAGGCAGAAACAAGGTGAGAGCTGGGTGCGGACATCCGAGGGCTCTTTCGAAAACTCGTCTTGACGGTCTTACCACAGAGGGCAACGCCCTTTCCGAAATTTCTGTACAACCCTACATACTTAAATATACAAACATCTATTTCGGCATACGTGGAATAGTACTCAGGTTGTTTGTAGGTCATTTTGTTACTCACCTGTATGTGTTAGAGAGTGATTTACATCCACAGTGACCTATCTGCCTTATTTGTGCTAGTGTATTCAGCCAGACCTTTACTGACGGGTACACTGCACTGTGCCTGGACCGCCGTCATGTACTAGTGGGGGCAGAGCCATCGGGTGAATTCTGTGCATGGGAATTGCTGGGTCGAGGTATAAACATTTAAAGTTCCTATAGGAATTGCCAGTTTGCCTGTGAAAAAGTGATGCAATTTATATCCTGTCTAAGAAGGGATGGGTGCATTTCTCTACACTCACCCATCCTATACTTCATTTACTATTTTTAAAAAATTTTCACAAGAAATAGTAAAAGGAAAATGATACTCTGTTCTGGTTTGTAATTCTCCAGTTACGAGTGAAATATAGTTTTCTTGAACTTCTTTTTTTCTATGACTTCTAGTTTTTGGCCTTAACTTTTTTTTTTCTACTAGACTGTCTTTTTTTTCTATTGGACTGTCTTTTTTCTTAAAGATTTTTATTTTACTTTTTTATTTTTAGAGAGAGGAGAAGGGAGGGAGTGTGAGAGGAAAAGAAAACCTCCATGTGAGAAAGAAACACTGACTGGTTGTCTCCCGCATCAGTTGTCCCACTAGGGGCCTGGCCCGCAACCCAGGCCTGTGCCCTGACTGGGAGTTGAGCTGGTGACCTTTCAGTTCGCAGGTCCGTGCTCAGCCCACTGAGCCACGCCAGCCAGGACTGTCGTTTTTCTTACCACTGGATCCAAAGTACTGTACAGTGCATGACTCACAGTTTTCTGGACAGCCCGTTGTGAGTTCCTCACCATCTGGGAATAGTTCTTAGGTTGTAATCCTTTTGGTTATCTTTGGTCAAGTAAAGCCAAATTTGGGCCTTGCCTAAAAGACCAATGAGGGTAGTGGAGCTGTGCGAAGGTAGGTGTGGCCGTGGTGCTTTGCCTGTTTTGCATGTGAAGTGACTTTAGTGTCCAGTGTGACACTTTAACTTGTACTTGTGTGTGCTCTAGCACTGTACTTTTTTTTCCCGTTTAAAAAAATTTTTATTGTTACTGATTTTAGAGAGAGAGGAAGGGTGAGAGCAAGACAGAAACACTGATTTGTTGTTCCATTTATTTATGCATTCATTGGTTGGTTTTTGTATGTGTCATGACCAGGGATCGAACCTGCAACCTTGGTATATTAGGGTGATGCTCTTACCAACTGAGCTACCTGGCCAGGACATGGTGTACTTGTGTATCTCACTCAGCCTGCACATTCTTATCACCTAGCATGGTGCCTTAGTACTTACTTGGTGCTCTGTAAATGCTTTCGGAAGGCAGGAGGGAAGGGGTGAATGCCTTGCACATACAGAGTAAGCAGCAGTTTCCGGTAAACTGATAGGACTCAGACTACTCCTAACTCCCTCCTGGGTTGATACAGTTTTGATTTTATGCTTAAATGAAGCTGCCTTGTCAAGACACCTATCTTTCCCTGATGTTCTAAGTGGGTATCAGAGCTTTATGGAGAACGGCTGACTGCAGGCCAGATCTTATGAGGGCCCTATGCAGTGTGTAGCTGGGACGCTGCTCGCTGGTGGCATTTCCAGTCACTCCCTCCTGACCTTCCCCCCAGATGATGGAGGTCCCGAAAGCAAAAGACCCAAGTTGGATTTGTCCGAAGAGGAACTGAAGGTCCATGTCAGCAGCGGCACGCTGGGCAAGCTCACGGTGCCCGTGCTGAGGGAAGCCTGCAGGGTGCACGGGCTGAAGGGTGGCGTGAGGAAGCAGGAGCTGCTGGACGCGCTCACCAAGCACTTCCAGAAGGACTGACCGGAGACCGGACACCCAGCCATGCTTCTGCCCTGTGGCCGGGCTGCTTGGTTTTGTTCTCATCAAGTGAAAATGTGTTCCTCCTGAGCCAGGAAGAGTCTGCCTGATAGAAACCAGAACTTTAGGAGACTTTCTGTTGCCATGGAGACATCATAGCCCTTCCACTCTGCAGTGCCTTATTCTATTGTCTAAATAAAGAGCCTAATTTTGTACTATAGACTGTCCTTCATTGTGAACGAAAGACGTGTCTGCCTCACATACAAATATCACTTGCTGTTGGCTATGAGCTTAGTTTTCTCTCCCACTTGGGACATCAATCATCACATGTGGACAAAACAAAGGGAGGGGAGAACATGATGCATAAGGACAGATGGACATACTTCAGGAGCGACAAGGCCCAAGCCAGATCCCGACTTCTCACCTGTTTTCCTTTGTGTCATATTAAGATCCAAAGATTTCAGAAGCAGTGAGAATATGACATTTCTAATACTGGTCCCATTTGCTTCACGAGTAAATAGCACCTCCTCACGTTGCATTTCTCTTAATGTGGCATTCAGGTATATGAAGGTACATATACCTTCATATGTTTCTATTGCCCCGAGAACTTGGGTTCCAGTGTAAGTGAAATCAGCTATGTTTCACAGGCGCCGTAGCAAGTTCACGAAGATGAGAGGTGCTCGTGTTAGAAGGGGAAGAGGAGGGGAGTGTCTTTCCCTTCGTGTTCTCCCCCGCCCATCCTTCTCCATCTTCCCTGTCCCTTTCCTGCTCTGCCTGCTGCTGCTGTTGAAACATTCCCTTGAGATCAGGAAGGAAAGCGTCTGGAAGGGTTTGTGTCCTCTAAGGGTGTTTGAGGTTCAGGGGTTTTAGGGCCTGTGTCTGTCAGGGCTAGAATGAGCATCTCATGAGGAGAGTGTAGGAGGGGTCAAATTACTCTTGTAAGAGATTTTCAGTTTTGAGTTCTTTGCCCTGAGGTTTATAAAGTTGTTCTTTTTTTTGGCCTGGGCTGGTGAGGCTCAGTGGATTGAGTGCTGGCCTGCAAACCAAGAGGTGGCCGGTTTGATTCCAGTCAAGGCCCATGCCTGGGTTGTGGGCCAGGTCCTCAGGCCGGGTGTGTGAGAGGCACCCAATCGATGTGTCTCTCCCACATCAGTGTTTCTCTACCTTTGTTTCTCCCTCTCCCCTCGCTCTAGAAAATAACATCTTTTTTAAAAAATTTTACTTATTTGTTTTTAGAGAGGGAAGGGAGGGAGATAGAGAGAAACTTCAATGTGCGGTTGCTGGGGGTCATGGCCTGCAACCCAGGCATGTGCCCTGACTGGGAATCAAACCTGCGACACTTTGGTTCACAGCCCACGCTCAATCCACTGAGCTACGCCAGCCAGGGCTGAAAATAAAATCTTTAAAAAAAATAATGAAGTTGTTTTTCACTTGTTTAGCTTTTGTTTTTGTTTGGGAAGGAAATGTATATTCTTGTTTGGATTTCTTATCTGGGGATAGGGAAGGTAATTCTCTAATTAGAAGAGATGCTGGGGGGCTGGGTAGAGTGGGGCAAAAGGGAAAAGTTGGGAAAACTAATAGCATAAAATATAAATTTTAATTTATTCAATTACAGTCGTCTGCAGCATGAAACATTTTTTAAAATATATTTTATTGATTATGTTAGGACAGATGTCCCATTTCCCCCCTTTATTCCCCTCTGCCATGTACACCCTCTTCCACCCACATCCCCCACCTTTAGTTCATGTCCATGGGTTGTACATACAGGTTCTTTGGCTTCTACATTTCCTACACTATTCTTACCCTCCCCCTGTCTATTTTCTACCTACCATCCATGCTACTTATTCTCTGCTCACCCTGTCTGCTCCTCCCACTCCCCTGTTGATAACCCTCCGTGTGATCTCCATTTCTGTGGGTCTGTTCCTGTTCTAGTTGTCTGCTTAGTTTGCTTTTGTTTCTGTTTTAGGTTTGGTTGTTAATAACTGAGAGTTTGCTGTCATTTTACTGTTCATATTTTTTAATCTTGTTCTTAGATAAGTCCCTTTAACATTTCATAAAATAAGGGCTTGGTGATGATGAACTCCTTTAACTTGACCTTATTTGAGAAGCCCTTTATCTGCCCTTCCATTCTAAATGAAAGCTTTGCTGGATAGAGCAATCTTGGATGGAGGTTCTTGCCTTTCATGACTTGGAATACTTCTTTCCAGCCCCTTCTTGCCTGTAAGGTTTCTTTTGAGAAATCAGCTGACAGTCTTATAGAACTCCTTTGTAGGTAACTTTGTCTTCTTTTCTCTTGCTGCTTTTAAGATTCTCTCCTTATCTTTAATCTTGGGTAATGTAATTATGATGTGCCTTGGTGTGTTCCTCCTTGGGTCCAACTTCTTTGGGACTCTTGAGCTTCCTGGACTTCCTGGAAGTCTATTTCCTTTCCCAGATTGGGAAAGTTTTCCTTCATTATTTGTTCAAATAAGTTTTCAATTTGTTGTTCTTCCTCTTTTCCTTCTGGTACCCCTATAATTCGGGTGTTGGAATGTTTAAAGTTGTCCTGGAGGTTCCTAAGCCTCTCCTCATTTTTTTGAATTCTTGGTTTCTTCACTCTTTTCTGGTTGAATGTTTCTTTCTTCCTTCTAAAGCACACCATTGATTTGAGTCCCAGTTTCCTTCCCATCACTATTGGTTCCCTATACATTTTCCTTTATTTCACTTAGCATAGCTTTCATTTTTTCATCTAGTTTGCGACCAAATTCAACCAGTCCTGTGAGCATCCTGATTACCAGTGTTTTGTGTTAACTGTTCATCTAATAGGTTGGCTATCTCTTCGTCACTTAGTTGTATTTTTTCTGGAGCTTTGATCTGTTCTTTCATTTGGGTAATTTTTAAAAAAATATTTTATTTATTTTTAGACAGAGAGGAAGGGAAGAGAAAGAGGGAGAGATACATCAATGTGTGGTTGCCACTTGGGCGCCCCCTACTGGGGGCCGTGGCCTGCAACCCAGGCATGTGCCCTGACTGGGAATCGAACCAGCAACCCTTTGGTTCACAGGCTGGTGCTCAATCCACTGAGCCACACCAGCCAGGGCTGGGCCATTTTTTTTTTCCTCAGCACACCTGTTACATAGTAAGGGGTGGAGCCTTAAGTGTTCACCAGGGCGGGGTAACCCACGTTGCTGCTTTGTGATGCTGAATGCGGGGCGGGGACCAAGAGGGAACAATGACGCTTGCTCCACTTTTTGCCGGGTTTCAGTCACTTCCCCTGCTTCCCCCAAGCAAACTGGGCCTTTCTGGTGCTGATTCCCGGGTGGGTGGGCTTGTGTACGTTCTAGGACCCAGTGGGTCTTCCCAGTGCACTCTCCTGTGAGGCTGGGCGTCTTTCCTGCTGCCGCCTCAACCCCCACAGGTGTTTTCAATGTGTGGTTTGAGGCTTTATTTCCCTGCTCGGAAACCCTAGGTTGTGCGGTCTGTCTTCCTCCCAAGTTGTTCCTCTGGTTTGTCCGCACGTGAATGTGGGACCGCCCGCTCCACCAGCTGCCACCTTGCCGGCCAGCTGCAGCCTTGCCTGCCTCAGTCCACAATCCACCGCCTTGCCGTGAGTCCTCTCCACCCGGCTGCCCATCTCTGCCCCTCCTCCTGGTCTGGATGAATGTGTCCTCTTGAACTCCTTTGTTGTAGGACTTCCATACAGTTTGATTTTGTCAGTTCTGGTTGATTGTTTTTAAATTGTTGTCCTTTTGGTTGTGCGAGGCACAGTGTGTCTAACTACACCTCCATCTTGGCCAGAAGTCCCTGTCTGCAGCATATTTTTGAAAAAGATAGTTTTTTATTATCAATCCAATAAAAAATGGAAAATATTTTTAAATTAAAAAAATGATTTGATATACAGCAGGATAATGCAAAACCATTTGACAGGGTAGCGCTCATTCGTTGAGAAATGAGACCATCCCTCCTAAATGGACACGTTTGGAAACCGGGTTCTACTCGGGGCTCCCACCGAGATAGGTTAGAATCAGGCGAGGCACCGTGGGAAGGTGAGAAGGAGCCCCCGCAGTGGGCCTTTATTCTCACCCTGGGTTTCCTGGCTGGGCAGGGGGTAGGGTGGGGGGTGGGGGCCCAGGCCGAGTGCTGGATGTCTGTGCACGCCCAAGGGACCTCGTGCAAGGCTCCGCCCCTCTCCTCTGTTCTGTTTACGAAACAGAGCGAATGAGAGCTCGAGGGTCCGACAACGAACACCTGCCCGTCATGTAAATGCTAGCAGGAAATGACCGCAGGAGTCCGTGCCACGCGGCACCAGTGTGAGCTGCGCCTCTGCCACGAGGCTTGCCCTCTCCGCTGCTGAGCTGCCCGCGGGGGAAACGCCAGGTCCAGACGTAGTTTGGTTCAGCTGTTGTAAGCTCGTACGTCAGATTTGCCTTGGCTCCATCACGTACACGCACGTGACTGTGGGAAATGGGCCTGGCATTTTCAAACCTCCAGTCCCTCATGTTTATAGTAAGATGGGGGTACGAGATGAAGGCGGAAACTGCCACGTCTTTCATGGAAGCTTGGACGTCTCCCGTCACTCCTCAGTCCTCCGAGCCCCGCAGACCAGCTCCGAGCGGCTGTGGGCGGGGACTCCGGAGGGCATGAGCTGTACCAGGTGAGGACCATTGCTGCCAGCTGGGAGCTGGCTGCCACAGAGCATCATGGAGACTCGCTACTTAAAATCTTTTTTTTCTTCCTTCAGAAAATAAGTATACCCACCCGCCTCTGCCCCACTGTAAGATGTATCCGCTAATGCCAGAGGCATGTATCTGATTTTTTCAAAATGTAACTTAGCTGACACTAAGAGGATACCCAGGCATATTAAATGGCTTGAACAAAAGCTCCCTCCCTCCATTGGGGATTAAAACATCAATTGGGGATTTAAGATAATGGAAATGCATTGTTTAGTACTTAACAACAAATGAATAATCTTTCACAAGGTCATTATCATAAACGTAAAAGTATTCCTCAATCATAGGTCCTCTTGAAAGAATGGTTTCAAAAACCTTACTCTAAAACAAGTTCCTAGCCCTGGCTGGCATAGCTCAGTGGATTGAGCTCGGGCTGTGAACCAAAGTGTCGCAGGTTCGATTCCCAGCCAGGGTACATGCCTGGGTTGCAGGCCATAACCCCCAGCAACCGCACATTGATGTTTCTATCTCCCTCCCTTCCCTCTCTAGAAGTAAATAA